GTTAACCTCATTAGTTACTTTTAGCTAACAATTTGAGTTGTATCCTTGATTCCCTTTACGAAAGTTGCACATCTTTTTCCTAAGTTGTTATGGATTAAATGTATTTTCTGAAGTAACCTTAGCAAATTCTTCGTTAGAACCTAAACTATGATGGTGTGAATGTATTTGCCACTGTTACCTTAGCAAAGTTATAGCTACTTTTTTCATTTTTCCCCCTAATCACACAAGTCATACTCATACTACCGCAGCTTGACCATATCACGTAATGTCATAGTCAGGGCTCTGTTACCTTGGCAAAGTTATAGCTACTTTTTTCCTTTTTTTCCCCTAATCACATAAGTTATACTACCATAGCTTGACCATATCACAAATGTCATTATGATATTTTGTCATATGGTCAAGCTGTGGTAGTATAACTGGTGTGATTGTGGAAAGGGGAGAGTGGGGAATGAAAAAGTAGCTAAAACTTTGCTAAGGTAACAGTGGCAAATACATTCACACCATCACAGCTGTGTAAATTTCCCAAGATAACCTTAACAAATCCTTAAAATCCTGGGCGGCTAGGTTGGTATAGTTGAATTAGCTAAGGTTAGATTAGAAATTTTCCACAGCTGTGACGGTATAAATTTATTTGCCAGTGTTACCTTGGCAAAGAAAGCGACTCTTTTGATTGATCCCCTCGAGCCCAACTACTCTATACAAGGAGGACAATTTTGAAGAGTTTCAAGCCTTCATTTCTTTCTATTGCCACTAGGGCTGGGCGTTTGAAATTGAACCTACATGTTACTCGAAAATCGAACCAAAAAATGAATTTGGTTTGTTTCAGTGGTTTTTGGTTTTTATTTTTTGGTTTTAATATTAACCGAATAAATTTTGTTTTGGTTTCAGTTGAATTTTTTAAAAATAAAAAATAAAAAATAAGCCCTCTGAAAATTAAAATTAAGATAAATATAACAACATATGATAAAATATAATTTATTATTAAAAAAATAATTGATTAATATTTATTTACCAAAAATCAAAATCAAATTGATTTTATTAGTAACTGAATCGATCGATTTATAAAAATTTTGATTCAATTTCAATTCTCAAAAGTAAATAAAATTTTTTTTGATTATTTTAAATCCGATTTCAATTAAATCGATTTTAACCAAAACCGATTTTTGCCCACCCCTAATTTTGCCACAGACACAGGCAGAATCAGCAGATTTTTCTTCCCTCTTCTGTAGGGGTGGGCATCGGGCGGTTTGTTGTAATCGAAACCGAGATGTCGGTTAATTGAGATATCGGTTTTTTAATTTTAGAAACCGAAAACCGCACCCGAATGTTATAATTTTTGCGGTTTCGATTGTTTCGGTTTCGGTTGTTTTAGTTTCGGTTTCGGGTTTCAACCGTCATTTCACAATGGCTTATCAATGGCGGAAAGGCAAGCAGATATTGGAGATGAAGGCAGAATGATGAGAGAATGTGGTACGCATGACTAAGAAATGGACAAACTCACTTTCAGGACCACCAGGCTGGGTAACAGCATCAACGAAGCGCTCGTGAAGGTCGGCAGTCCAGCATCCGTGGTGAGAACCAAGCAGGCATCTCCAGGTAAGTTGGTCCTGTCAAGCGACTAAGCGAGCCCTGGTACTCCCCACCATGGCCCATCGTCCCATCCAACGGCAGCGACCGAATCGCCGAGTACATTCTCAGGAAGCTCCCCCACTGGAGTAAAAGCACAAGAAATGCAGGTGAGGAAGAGGGATCCAAATTGAGGGGGGGCAGATATTCGGAGGCCCGAATAAGGAAGGGACACGAGGAGGAGGGAGGAGAGAGTATGCAAAGGGAGTGTCAAGATTGAGGCATGCAAATGGGGAATTGCAATTTGCAGAGAGGTTAAGACAGGGATGTCTTGTTCTGTCTCTGCCATTTCCTATAAAAAAAATAAAATATATTAAAATAAGATAACAAATTAATTAATGAGGGAATTCAAAATTTTGAAGTGAGGAATCAAAAAATCAAATATTGTAGGCGGAAAGTCTGCATAAAAAAACGTGAAAGACTAAAAAATTAAATAAAAATATTCAGAATAAAAATACAAAAAATAAAAAAGGTTGTGCTTTTCGGTTTTTCGAGCCTATCATGCGGTTGTCGGTTCTTGGGCTTAAGAACCGACAACCGCCCGACTAGGCTCTCGGTTGCAACCGCAACCGAGGCCAGCCCAACCGAATGCCAACCGAACCGTCGGTTGCGGTTGCGGGCGGGCACGGGTTTTTTTTCGGTTTCGGGCACAAGCGCCCACCCCTACTCTTCTGAGCCTGCATCACGCCATCGACGAAGATTTTATTCTTCCAAGTTTCAGTCAATCTACTTCGAAGTTTGCACAATGATGTCTTCTGCCGGCCAAATTCTTCCAATTCTGAGGTATGAGCTCTGGGCTTTCACATATTGTTTTTTGTGGTAACAATGCATTACCTTTTGCCCTTTTTTTTTCCCCCCAAACTTAGTTTTGTGATAGTATCCGGTTACAATTTATTGTAATAAAATTTGAAAGAACTATGAGTTATAATTACCTTAGGTATGATAAGTGTTACATGAATTTTCAGTTACTCTCTCTGTTTTATTATAATAAATTTAATTTAATTTTTTTGACTTTTTAAGTATAAATTTTAAATAAAAAATTAACATATTAGATAAATATTATCAAAAAATTATTATAAACAAATTAACACTCCTAACCAAAAATATTAAAAAAAATTCAATTATTAAAATTTATTATCAATTATTTTAAACAATTAAATCAAACCTTACACTCAGCAAGATTTTTTTCCCGCGCAGATTATCTATTAAGTTGTTCCCTACCAAGATTGGCACCTCACTTAATAAAGACTCTTTTTTATCAAATAAAATCGAAGAATTTATCCTTAAAAAGAAAATTTTATCTATCTTGTGCTTTAAAAATATACGATAAAAAAACAATGATTGAGTAGTTATTGATTAATAATGATTACTTTTATCTTAAAAGTGATGAAATTGACTTTTATTTTAATTGTAGATGATATATATTAAATTTTTATTGATTTATTTTAAATTTAAAAACAGAAATTATCTTTTTAATTTAAAATTTTACAATTTTTAAGAAAGTATTAT